TTGCTCTTGTTGCTCCCAAGACCCCAGCGACGGGCTACTGCCTTTCCTCCCTCAGCCTGCTCTTCCCTGGAGGCTGCAGGACTGGTTTGTGCATGACTCCAACATGGGCAGGAGCCTGGACGGCAGGAAAAAGGGATCGGTGACAATAACAAGTTCTAAATCTCAAAAACTTTCTCAACAAAAATGACAAGAGGCATGTCTTTGCCAAAGAGCTGGCTCACATACAAATCATGGATAGTTCTATTGTTTTTGCCGACACACTGGCTTAACACAAGCCAGCATCAAGCCTGTACAAACTTAGTCACTCGCAGTACATATGTACTTGCAGCTGTAGCATTTATATTCAAATGTGAGCACATGTTCTTCTGAACTTCTTTCCAGAGGTGACTTATTTCTGCTCCTAGCAAGGAAGAAGTATGTAAGTATCCCCCCCTTTCTTGAGACCTTAAAAAAAGGCAGCATTATCAGCAAATAAGTCCTGGTATCCCTGAAGGTAAAAGTATTCCATGTTGTGGATAAAGACATTAGTGCCCTCTCTATTTATTGTTGAACTTGTTAATGTGTTAAGGATTTTCTTTGTCTTTTATGGGACTTTTTTTTCTATTGCCAGAAATATTTTGATCTGCATGTAAAACATTCAGTCCCTCAAATTCTTTTAACAGGTCATTGTTTCATACTGATCTGTGACATAGATTAGTAAATTATAGACTTAAAAGCTTTTCTGTACTAAAAATTCTAATTCTAATTATAATATTTTAAGGAGATAAAGGTCCTCCTTTTCTGGAAAAAAAAAACCAAAACAAAACCTATGGTAGGGAAGGATCCCAAGAAGTCACCTTCACTTTAAAAGAAATTCAGCATCAAATAAAGTATTCCTGATATTTATCTCACTGACAGCTACAGCTTATGAGAACAATGTATGTGACCAGTCCTTGTGCCCATATGAGGACACCTGATCTCCTTTGATGCCCATCATGGCTGGATGGTTGCTCTTTTTGAGTCACAGGACAGTGTTCCCAAGGAAGTCCATAACAAGTTATTGGAAATAGTCTAACTAGAAGCATAGGGCACATATAAGCTAATTTTCTTAAAAAGCTTTCAAAACCAATGATTTCACAGCCTCCCTAGCAGCCTATCAGTGTTTTCCCAATCCCGGGCTCTTTTAGCCACTGTGCAAGCAGCTGGTCCACACACAGAGCTGAGACACTTGGTTTTATTTCAGCCTGTGCAGAGATGGTGCAAGGAGGTGAATCTGCAGAGCTATCACACCTCCAGTATGCCAGGACCTCATTTGTACATCCTTCCAACTATAGAAAAACAGCATTTCCTGTCACATAACCCACACAAAGCCCAGTCATTGGCTTTGCCTTCTCTTGTCTCCATTTGAAGACACAGTGCACACTTGTTTTACTGTGCAGGGTGTGCGAGGAAGGGGCTTACATGAGCAGGGGGTGATCAAAGCCTGTGTCCTGAAAATACATCCACTAAACCAAACAGATACTGATGTCTTCTGATACTACTTATCATAGCATCACTATCCATGTGAGTTCCTTCATGGAACTTCTCAAGAAAGAGCTTCTATCATTTTAGTGGTTACAGGAATTTAATTCCCAGTTATCCACCATCCTTCTGGATTTTTTAACATTTCAACATTTCTATCAATGGATCTTCCTTCATCCACATGTTGCAGCAGTTACACTGGTATTGTTATTCCACCACTGTTCCAGCTGGTTTGCCAATACCCTGCCAAACAAAGCAGAGCTGGCTCAGAGTCCCTGCTTGTTTCTGTCAGGGATTAAGTTCAGATGGAACGCCCTGAGCCATCTAAGGGACTTCCAGTCTGACAATGTATGGATTTACCCTCGCTGGGTTTGCTCCTGGTTTGAGTGGTACATTGAGTGGAGTCACATTCTCTAAGCGAGCCCTTGCAGTGGATTATCACTGAACATGTGACTCCACTGTCTATCCAAAATCTATGGTTTCATTCCCCAGCTTTACTGGAACAGGGGGATCTGCTGCACATGTCTGGATATTTTCCCCAGTCCCCTTCTCTCACTGTTAAAATCTTAAAAATTCTGCTAATTACTTCAAAAAACACAAATCAACATTTCAGTTTAAAAAATTAAATTTATTCCATATTTCTACATCCACGCTAACAATAAAAAAACATACAAAACCAAATTAAAGTTAAAAAAATAAAATTTATTGCAAATTGCTATACCTGCGCTGATTTATAAATACACAAATATAGATTTAAGTTTAAAAAATTAAATTTATTGCAAAATACCGCACCCTTGCTGCTGATATATAAATACAGAAATGTTGATTAAATTTTAAAAAAATTTATTAGATTGCTACAACTATGCTATGTAAAAATATGCAAATATCAACTTCAGTTTAAAAAGTTAATTTATTGCAGGGTACTACAACTGTAAAGCCTATACACTAATACAAAAATATCAATATACCTATCTAAATAACCCTGTACCTATAACTAAATAAATGTAAAACTATACAACTCTGTACGTACGTAAACATTACTACATACACATATAACCATAACAATAGACATAAATATAATTACATATTAAATACAGTATATAAAATATATATACATAGTAAAATTATATAAAAATATACAAATATCAATATACCAACCTAAATATCCATATACCTAAAACTACATCAATATAACTATACATCTATACAACTCTATACATATGTAAATATAAAGACAAACAATATACATGAATATAACAATATAAAAACATAAATGTAACTAGATACATATATCAATATACCAAATATCCCTATACTTATAACTAGATCAATATAACTATATAGCTATACAACTGCATACATATGTAAATCTAACTAAATATAAATAGAAATATAAATATACATATATAAATACAATAGATACATATACAACTAGATACATAAATAAACATATCTATACAAATATCAATCTGCATATGTAAATACCTATATACCTGCAACTACCTAGGTATAACTAGAACTACACACATCTCTAAATATAAGTATATACAGAGGGATCCCAGCCACCCCATCTTCATGGGCTCTTCCTCAGACTCTCCCTTCCATGCAGAGCAGCCCTCCTGGACAGGTACAGATGGATATCTGGGAAGCAAAGGTGATATTGAGTCAACATAGTCCTTCAGTACGTTTCCCTTGGCAGCAACTGTTCTTCTATCTACACAATATCAGATCCTCCCAGGGAGGGTTAGAAATCAAAAACACACATTCTGGGGATTTTCAAAAACAAATAACTTGTTTATTTATGTCTCCCCTACTCATTCAATCCTCTAGGAAAACTGTCTAGCTTTGGCAGGAGACTTCCTGTCAGGCCTCCTTCCCTCTGCACAAAACTCACAGGGTGCTCCCGCCAGCTATCCCTGCACAGGACTGACCCATTGTGTCCCACGGACTCCCAGAGAGCTCCTTAAGCCTCCCCAGAGCTGGGCAGGGAGCAGGGACATCCCTGGGCAGGGCTGGGCCAGCTCACCAGTGAGGGATGAGGGTGTTCCCTGCACAGCCCAGCTGAGACTGTCCTGCTGCAGCCCATGGGCAGAGCAGGACACAGGGGGAACAGCTCCCAGGCTGTGCCAGCAGATCTGCCTTCCCCAGGGACAACCCTGTCCGGCCCCAGGTGAGCTGAGCTGAGCTGAGCCGTCCCCGGTAAGGGCAGGGAGCCCTCCTGGTTCGGGACAGGGCCCATTTCCAACCCCAAACTACCCTCACACCCATCCCATCTCACCGGCCCCAGTGGCTTCACCAAGGGTCTCAGGTAGCAGCAGCAGCAGGTCCTTGTTAAAGGTGTGGCTGGTGGTTGTCAGCTTCTCTCTCTTGGCCCTCATCAGTCTCTTGTTGTTCACAAGGAATTCAGGGCAGTCCTGGCAAAAGTGGAGAGTCTGGAAATGGTGCTGTGGCCCAGCAGAGTTACAGGCCTGGACCCCAATGTGCTGCCCGCTGGTCCCCCACCATCTCCTCAGCCCCAACATCCCCTCGGCAACCAGAGCCCCTACAGTCTCCTCAGTCCCTTCAGACTGTCATTTCCCTCAGTTTCCCAGCCCCCTTAGCCCCAACACCTGCCTAAGCCTGTGCCCCTTCCCAGTTCCCTCTGCCCCACTGTCCCCACAGCTCCTTCAGACCCCTCCATTCCTGCCATTCCGCTCAGGTTCCCCACACCCCTTCGTCCCCACCAGACCCTACAGCTCCCCCAGCCCCCTCAGCCCCACTGTCCCCTCAGTGCCACCATCACCTCAGCATCACCGTCCCTTCAGCATCACCATCCCCTCAGCCCCCCCAGCCTCACCATCCTCCAGCAGCTCCTTGAGGAGCGGTGCCTGGTGCCACCAGCAGCTCCCACCACTCCCATGGGGATGTGGGGGTCGGGACCTGGGGCTGGAGCTGCTGCTCCCCCCAGCCCGGCCACCAGCCCAGAGCCCGGCACAGGGAGCAGGGACAGAGCTGGCAGAGTGGGAATAGCAAGGGATGGAAAAGGCAGCAGAGAGACAAGAGGTGAAAAAGCAGCCTATACCTATACAAATATCAATATATAGAGCTAAACATTCAGATACATCTAACCATGTAACTATACATACCTATACATATAATAGTTAAAATAGATATAAAATTATATGCAGAGTGTGTATACATATAAATAAATATAGTATATAAAAATATATCTATATAAAAATGTAGCTATACTTATATAGAAATATAAAAATGTACATCTATAAATAAATATAAACAGATAATATAAAAACAATATAAAATAATACTAATATAAAACATTGTAATATAGTAATAACTATAAAACATATTAATAACAACTACATGTAATTATGCTATTATATGATAATATAATAAAATTATATAATTATTAAATAATTATTAATATAGTGAAATTAATAACTATAATAGGAGTAATATTAAATAACATTATGATATTAAAAATAATCGATATTAATATATTATTTCATCTCTATACATCTATAAATATAACTATGCAACTATATATATAAATGTAACTATACGCATCTTTAAATATAACTATCTACAGAGGGATTCCAGCTGCCCTGTTTCACAGGCTCTCCCTCGGTCGCTTCCTCCCACGCAGAGCAGCTCTCCTGGCGAGGTACAGCTCATGGACCTCTGGAAAGCAAAGGGAACAGTCACTGTGGGTCCTTGTGAACATTTTCCTCAGCAGCACACCCAGCAGTTGTACTCCTGTCAGGGACTGTAAAAGATGGCCTCAGAGGCAGGCTCTCACTTGGGAATTTGAGGCCTGCTGTTTAAAGAATAGGAATTCTTCCAAGTTTTCAATAAAGTTTTGAAGTACCTGATGAAGTCCCAGCACTCACCCTGCAAATGGCACAAGAGCTTTAAACACAGACAGTCACATCTCACAAAGAAACTCCAGCCTTGTTCTTTCTCTGGGACCCCAAAGGCCTCAGTCCTTATTTAAATGGTTGAAACTCATGGGCAACATGAGCTAAGTTATTAACCAGCATCGTTATCCGGGATCTAGAAACTGTCCTCTGAAGTGAGCAACAGTTGTTCCAACTCTACCATCAGCTTTTGGATGAACAGCTGGGAGGGAAATGACCTCCCAACAAGGCCTGCAGCCTGCACCACCTTTGCTCTAGAAGAGATCGAAAGAGCTCTCTCTCTCTCATCTTAGGTCTTGCTAATCTGGGGACATTCAGGTTGCTGGATTTGTGAATTGCTTGGGCTCAGATGTTCTGCTGCTTGTTTTTCTCATGTGTCTCAGCATAGGTATCAACAGACTGGTACTAAATGTAGGTAGTGATTTGGACTTCTACACTGACATCATCAGTTTGATGGGTTTTCTCCCTGTTGCTTTCATAGTCACCTCATTACTCAGCATTGCCTCTGTAGCACACCTGGGTTGGTGACACAACTCCCAGAACGTCAGGTTTTGTTCACTGATCTAATTCATGCCCTTTTGCACAGAAGAACACCTGCTCTGAGCACATCTAGAGAAATGTACAAGCACAGTATTTTCACTGAAGGCACAAGGAAGCACTGGCACTGCAGACAATAACTCAGCTGTTCTGATGTCCCCTTCCTGTAACACTCAGGCTCAGAGCAGCTGTCTCAGTCATCTCTAAAGGAACACAGCCTCTCTTCTTACCAGGCTCCTTTGGCTCCAGGGGACTGTTCCCACTGCTCATGTTGCCAGGTAGAGCTTTCTCTTCTGCAGCCTTGGTCACAGGCTCCCCTCCTGAAGACTCAGAGGGAACACTAATATTCCCCTTAAAAGAAAAACAAGTAGAAATAAACCATAGGATATTTTCTTGGAATCACTGTAGGGACAAGGTAGAAACTGTTCTACACTCCTTTCAAAAGGATATGTAACACCAGGTGAACACCAGGATATGTAACCCAGATGGTTTACAGGACAACTGCTTTAAACTCAGAATTAAGGCTGCCAAAGTGAAAGCTCTTGTCCTCTTAAGCAAACCATGAAATCAGAAAACCAGAATACACCAGGTGAGGCTGTGTGTCCTCACAGTCTGAACTTTGCCCTCACTTATCACAGGAGCTGCAAGAAATCCAGGTGCCTTCCTTGCTACCAACACGTGTGTCAGGTCGCTCAAACACAGGGTTGTGTGGTGTAAAACTACACATGAGCCACACATTTCTGGCGGGGAGGCCCCCCCAGCCCATCCTCCTGCTAAGACAATAAATTACAAGGTGTTGCTTGCTTTCTGGAGCCCTCTGCTGCTGCCCCACAGATATTTTGCAGCCAGCTATTTACTGAACTGATTTATTTTCATGATCATGTGGCAAAAATCTGTAGGGTAAAAAGTCCCCCAAAACCAGATAAGCAAGTCATATTTCTGTTCCACTGAGGAAGGAAAGACCCAAGGTTAAGCACCTGGAAATTACCTGAATTCAGACACAAAGATATTCTCTCTATGACCAGTTCTAGGATATTCATCTCTTCTGCAACAGCCTATCCATCAGAATCCTAAAGATGAATGACTGCTCAGAGCCTCCAACATTTCCTTCTATTAAGGAATAAAACACTTTTGAATACTGGTATGTGTGATGTTACAGTAGACAAAAGGGCATCACACCTGGGAAGATTTTTGGTAATGCCAAAAAAATCACACTCCCCACCTTGACTCTGCCCTTACTCAACGTTAAATATACAAAAGGCAACAGGTCCTTATATTAATAGAAATACAGACATTCTTTGGCAAACTTGTGTAATAATAAGCAAAAAGAGCTTTGCTAATACAGGAACTGAACATTCCAGGGAAGTCTGAGAAGAGCAAGAGTTAGAGAAAGGGGATTCCTAATCAAAAGAGGCAATTTGTCCAACAGAAAGTCTAATAGTCCATGAATTGCTCTTCAACACAGAATAAGCCTTTGACCACTCCAGTAAGTCTTTAACCATTTCACATCCAGGACCAACACTGTCCTTCTCACAAATTACACAAGTCATGGGGCCTCAAAACCAAAACACCTGCCCCCCAAAACCCCATGGCTCAAACACTTAATGCCTCCTTCCTACCAGGGAAGGCTGCCCCCTAAAGGCCTTAAAAATGGAGATCTACTTCTCAAACACAGTTCAAAAGCTGTCAAGATGACAATATTTAAAGTGCAGGTGACACTCAATACACTGAGAGGGCTCTACGGAAGGAGTCCTTACAACTCTGTGTGTGCTGGCACAAGGACGTGTTCTTCCCTGCACTGCCCTGAGCAGAACAGTCCCATCGAGGCTGGAGCTTTGCAGGGACTTTAGATTAAAGTACACATCCCTTTCTGGAAAGGTGGATACCCCAGAGCATGATGACTAAGTCATGGAACATGGAGACAGTAGTGGTAAATTTGCTCCAGCTGAGGATTTCCAAGCCAGGCACTTTACTGGAGATCTCAAAACACAAAGAGGACCATAAATTGCTGCAGCTCCAGCACATTCACAACTACAGCACTTTAAGCCACGGACAGCAACAACAGGTGCAGTCCAGCTCTTGGTTTTCCTTGGGGTTCAAAACAAAAAGAGCCAAAGCCTACATTTGGTGCTGCAACAGAGGGAGCTCTCACACATCCCTCACTGCATGTGAGACTTTGCCTTCAGTGGCAATGCTCAAAATACTCTTATTTAGGATCAAAGACATCATGTTATAACCTACAAAGCTTCCACTTCATCACTGTGAATGCAACTGTAGGAAGTATTTTTCCCATGAAAATGAGCCTAATTTGGTCAGCACAGGAAAACACATCTCATGCTCATTAATGTGGGATACTTTTTCAGTCCCTCTTCTTCTTTAAATCTTACTTTACCAAGCAAACCCTTCAGTGGCCATTAGAAGCTGAATTAAAGAAGCCTTTACTTCTCAGGCAGGCAACTACATTAAAAAGCTGTCAGTCCAGGCCCCAGCACTGCTTCTGAATGGACTTACCTCAAGAAAGGGAAACATTTCAGGCAGGTTTGATGCAAGTACCTCCTCAAGCATCTGAAACACAACTTCCAGATCTACTCCTGCCCACTCGTCTGCAGCAGAGGGATTACAGGCCCAGCTGGAGGTCGTTGATGCTGCAGAACCAGCACTGCCAGTCAGAGAATGGGGGGCTGAACTCCCCAGAGAGGCTGCAAGAATCCAAACATGGTCATCAGGCTTCCAGAATTTGGGTTTGGTTTGCAGACCTCTATTGCTTCCTTTGATCAAACATTTCAGGAATTGCACAGTAAACTCAATTCCAGAAATGTGTTTGTGCTTTCTAGGTGATTTGAAGACTGATTCTTCATCTCAAAAAAGATTTGTATTCTAGTTGATCTGTATATTAAAATTACCTAGAAATTATTATATAAAATCATGTATATAAAAATGTGGATTGTAAAACTGATACATACACACAGAGAAATTTCATAATTGTAGACTTCTGTATCTTCCCATCAGCTTTTTGATTTGGCTGCTTGAGTTTCTCTTCACAACATACCACTGAAGGTGCATTAGGCAAGCTTACATCTTCACACACACACACACACACTGAAATTGAACTGTGCTTTTGTTCTAAGACGCAGTGCTGTGGAACAGTATGTGTTTTGATGACACACAAAGGTCATCTAGCAATAATGTCATTATTTGCAGGACAGACAATCTGAAAACCTGCAATATCCTATCATTGTCCTAATTTTGCTTAATTCAAAGAAGGAAGTCAACCTGACACTGGCTAGTTGTGGGCAAATGCTTTTCTGCCTGCCCTTTCACCTCAACAGAGAGGCTGTCTGGAAAAGCCCCAGGGGATGCTCTAAATCTGGAGGGAGGACAGGAAAACCAGACAGTGCATCTTTTTGCTTTCAAGATCTCTCTTTCTATTAGACCTTGCACTTTCTATCTGATTCTCACTTGAGATATACAGGTGACAGAGTATTGTAGGAAAATACTTAAAACTACCACTTTTTAGTATGTTTTGAAAAGCAAGTGCAGAAGCTCTTTCCATACCTGCTGGATTGTAGGCTGGTGAGTTCTGCTCTGAAGCTGTGCAGCTGCTGTGCTCTGGAAGGGCCATGGCAGCACTTTGAGGCCTTTGGTGAAGCAGTGGCAGGAAGAGCACAGGCTGCACTGTGGATTTGGATGTGATCGGGACCTCCCCTGAAAACCTGAGGAGCCCTGGAGTGACAACCACTTTACTGGGAGGTGCTGCAGAAGCCTCACAGCCTTGAGCACCTTGACTTGACGTGGTAGGGACTGGAGACAAATTTAAACCTCTGGCTGGCAACGTAAAGAGGTTCTGGCTCAAGGTCACTGTGTAGCAGTAAGGGAAGAAGAAAGGAAAAAAGGTGATAGAGAGTCAATATTGGTCCTCCTGTACATTTCCCTTGGCAGCAATTTTACTTCTATCAGAGACTACAAAATCTCAGATCCTCCCAGGGATAGTTAGAAAGAAAAAATGCCCTGTTCTGGGGATTTTCAAAAAATGAATTGTCTATTTAGCTCTTGCCTACTCATTCAGTCCTCTTGCAAAACTGCCTAGCGTTGGCAGAAGATGTCCTGCCAGGTCTTCCTCCCCTCTGCACAAAACTCACAGGATACTCCTGCCAGCTGTTCCTGCACAGGACCGACCCACCGTGTCCCATGGACTGCCGGACAGCTCCTTAAGCCTCCCCAGAACTGGGCAGGGAGCTGGGACATCCCTGGGCACGGCTGGGCCAGCTCCCCAACGAGGGGCGAGGGTGTTCCCAGCGCAGCCCACGGGCAGAGCGGGACACACGGGAACAGCTCCCGGGCTGTGCCAGCAGACCTGCCTTCCCCAAGGACAACCCTGTCCGGCCCTGGGTGAGCTGAGGTGAGGTGAGCTGAGCTGCGCCGCCCCCAGCAAGGGCCCATTCCCATTCCCAACCTCCCGCCCCCCGCGTGTCCCACCCGTCTCACCGGCCCCGGGCGGCAGCAGCCGGTCCCTGTGGAGCTGCTGGAAGCGGCTGGGCTGCCGGCTGCGCACCTCCAGCCCGGCCGCCATCCGCTCCCTGTTGGCCCTGGTCAGGCGCTTGATGTGCACCAGGAGCTCGGGGCGGTCGCGCCGAAAGTAGGGGCTGCAGAAGCGGAGCAGGGCCCCGGCGGAGCCCGGCAGGCCCGCGGCACCGCCCCCCGCCAGCACCGGCGTCTTGTGGAAGCCGTAGAGGTTGAGCTGCCGCACGAAGCTGCCGAAGTTGGTGGCTTTGAAGGCGCCCGGGGCCGCCGCATCGCCGCCCGCGCCGCCCGCGCTCAGCAGCTCCCGCTCGAAGAGCGCCCGGTCGACGAGCAGCCCCTGGGCGCGGGCGTCCCAGCGCACGGAGCGGACGCGGGGGCTGTTCACCAGCTGCCACAGCTTGGCGGGGAAGGTGCTGGGGCTGACGCCGGCGGGCAGCGGCAGCTCCTCCATCGCGCCGGTCGCCGACGGACGGACTGTCGCGACACGCGGCGCCGCGAGGACACAACGCCCGGAGCGCAACGGCCGCGGCTGCGGCGGCGCCGCCCGGCCCGAGGGGGGCGCGGGAGAGCCCGCGGGGCAGAGCCCGGAGCGCGCCCGGGAGGGGCCGGGAGGGGAGCGGGGACGGGAACGGGGGGAGCGGGATCCGGAGGGACAGGTGAGAGCTCGGCGGCCACTCATGAAACTGGAATCACGGCGAGTTTAGGAGTAAAGGGGAGTGTCGTAATCTCTCCCTGTACTGCATCTGTCCCCGGCACCATCGGTGACAGAATTAAAGGTCTTTGCTCTGTCTCAGAGCAGGAAAGCACTGAGAAGATTTCATGGCCTTAACTACATCATCTTCTTGCCATTAGATATACTAGCGATATGGGCCAAACTCAACCCCTTTATTTGACTGAAATCATCCTTATTGCTTTGGTTTACGACACATCACCAAACCACCAAAGCAAGTGCAGTAAGTTTCAAAGAGGGGTCAAAATTGAATAAAATGATGGGACACTGTTCCTATTTATAAACTGAAAGCAAAACCACTCTGTCTTCTGCAGAGCTGAAGTGAGGAAAGCTAGACTGAGTAGCTTCAGTATTTTGTTTGGGGTTACCAACATATTTCCCCACTTAAAAACAGGCAAGTAGCACAGGACAAGGAAAAAGAGGAAGAGGGATTAGGAGACATTATTTGAGCCTCTTTTTCATCAGTCTGGCCCAGTAATTTTTTGCAGTCTTTGCCCATCTTTGGCAAATTTTGCACATTTATCATTTTTCAGAGACAGCAGCAATCGCAGGGAAGAGCAGAAATTTTGTCAGCGCTGTCATCAAAGCTGCACCATAGAAGGATGTTGCTTTACCCAAGGACTTAATGGCCTACAATTCTAGTGAACTCATGCTGCTGTCTTCCCAAGAGGCTTTGCATTTTTATTTCCTCAGTAATAATTTATTCTCTTCTGTTTTTCTGCCAGTCTTGGGAGAGTTACAATGCAAAATCACTTCTGCAGTCAACTCTTTTCAGTGTAGACTAACAAAGCAGATCTTGCAGTGATCTGTGCTTGGTGTCACTTGTTATTTTTATTTTAAATTGTCTCTTGAACTGAGAACACTTTTCTTTTCATAGTAGGAAAAAATAGACCTATTTCCCCCCCTCTCTTTTAATTTATACCTTTTTTCTATTTATTACCATCATTTAACCTGGATGTCCCATGTGACATGTTTGGTTTTATGGTGTGAGCTCATCTGCACACACACAGAGGAACTCAGCCACTGTAGAGAGACAGGGGACCCCAAATAACGTCTAGTCCCAACTACAGGGACTGGAAGTTGTTGTCACCTTATGTGACGTGTCTGATTTCTGCAGTGGGATTGAGTTAAAAAAAGAGCGAAACAGTGCATGCAGAACAGGTAATTGAAATATAACTGTTATTACACACAGGAGTGGTCACATTCACAGCTCAGGAATAGCTTTGTTGTCCATCAGGAACGTGCCTGTACCACATCTATATTGCAAGTCTTTACCTTCCAGTGACAACAAGAACCTCCTGTCTGCTGCTGACTGATTCCTTTCTCTGCAAGTCTCCTCTTCCTCGCCCTTCCCCCTCCCTCTCCTCTCTCCTTCCCTCCCATCCCTTAAGGAAACTGTAAGGTTTAAATAATTAGATTTGCACGTAAAACAAGAGTTATGGTTTACAGTTGGACTTGACCTTAAGAGTCTTTTCCAGCCTAAATGGTTCTATTACTCTATATTACGATATTCTGGAGCAAGGAACATCAAATTCTTCATTCAGTGGGATTGGTAGTTCTTGCCTTTGTATCCTGTTCCAAAGCCTACACTCACATGTCCAGCCTGTCTGGTGAATGCATCACAATTGTGCACATTATTTTAGCATGTGTTTAATAGCAAACAATTCCGTTGACAGTAAACATTCCACGATTCTATGATTTGAACACACGCTCCATTGATTTTTCCCCTATGGGCTGCAGCTGCTTTAGCTCTCTTCATAATTAAATGTGTTGGCAGATGAGCATTTGATTTGACTGGCTTTCTTGTGTTTGTACCATGAAGAACATCCACAGCTGGAAGCACTGGGCCGGTATCTGCTGTTTGAACATTCATATGTAAGAAAAAAGGGCACACCAGGAAAGCTTGTGTTGCATGAGATTCAGAAATTAGGAGTCATTTACTAATTAGCAAAGAGCAAAATAATACTTCACTAAGCAGAGCTAGAACAGCCCCAGAGAAGGCAACCAAAGCACATGTATTTCTTTGGATTTTTTTATTCTGTAATACTCTGTATAACTTATGTATATAAGAGAGAGGGATGGTAACAGCAAGTAAGACTAGTAATACAGGAAAATGTCCCTTTTAAATTTTTATTTCAGATGAACTAGTTGTCAGCAGTTTTCCCAGGGAACATCCTACAGACATTCTGCAGTGCATGATGTTGGATTACAGTTTGCTTCTAGGGAATAAAGAAATCTGTTCTGGCAGATCTCTATCTCCTGGATAGAGCTGGGTCAGATCTGTTTGCTTACTAAGCTTATAGATATTTCCCCCTCCTCCCAGTATTTCTGACATGCTTTCCCTTCCTCACATTGCTAAACAAATAACAAGATGTCATTTAAATTAGGTCTTCTAGCAATTTCTGACAAAATACATATATATTGAGGATATGAAAGCCCAGGGGATAGATTACATATATCCTGCTTGTTGAGTGGGGCGAGAGCCTTCTGACATCTTAGTCTGTTCCTGTTAACCACTTGCAACATGTTGATCGCCAACAGGAGCAAGTCCATTTGTGTTAAGGAACAGATACTAAAAGGCTCAAAGGGGAACTGCTGATATTTTGTTACCAGGGCCAGAGATTCTACCATCCTTTAAAATCACTGAAGGTTGGCCTCTTCTCCCAGGCAGTTAGGAACAGGAGAAGACAAAACGGTATCAAGCTGCACTAGGGAAGATTCAGGTTGAACATTAGGAAGAATTTCTTCACTGAAAGGTGGTCAGGCATTGGAAGAGGCTGTCCAGGGAGATGGTAGAGTCACCATCTCTGGAAGCGTTTGAGAAACAACTGGATGTGGCACTTTGTACTAATATGGTTTAGTTGACGAGGTGGTGTTTGGTCAAAGGTGGAACTCAGTGATATTGAAGGTCTTTTCCACCCTTAATGATTCTCTGATTCTATTATACAATCACTAAAAAAGGTCTGCCTGTGTTTGTACAAGAAGCATCTCATTCACAGAATCACTTGCAGTTACATCATTATCACTTGCTTGGACAAGTTCCCTGTTCATGTGGGGTATGTGCACAAAAACTCCAAGAAAACATTCCCCCTCACTTGCTTTGAGAAAGGTATTTGTTTCTATTACTTGTATGTTCCCATTTGTTCTATTACTTGTGAAATGCAAACTGTGTGTGAGCCCTTTTTGATTCCAACAATCCATTTTATACTCTGAACTTGCTAAATCATTGCTTCAGTATACCTTCTCTGTCACATGCTATTGGTTTTACTGATCCCAGTGCTGCTCTCTCAAGTGACAAATCTTTCTTCACAGGCCAGGAAGTCAAAAATCAATTCCAGAGCCCCAAAAAAGGAATTAATTTGTCATGACTTCAGTAAGCACTCTTAGTTGTATATGGCATTAGTTCTCTTCACCAGATCAAAGCAGTGGTGACTTGGGATGGTCTTATGAAGGACAAAAAAGAAGTCACAAGGAATATTTCCTTTGTGATACACTGCAGCTGTATCTTTACATATTTATGTTTCTTGTATTCATGGGCAATGCTGGCAAAACAAATCTTCAGGAATTTGTTCATGTGTGTGGACATGCTGGTTCTGCTTTCAACTACCTGCTTGTTTTGGCCTGTCAAATTTGAAACTTTCAGATATAATATCATGTCTTAATCTAAATGCTAAGTTGAAGTATTTTACTTTTTCTTCTTTTTTTTTTTTTATTTTTTAATTTATCTTTTCAGTAGAATTATAATATTACTGATTAACTAATACAGTTTGAGGAGCACAACAAAGATTTGCAAAAGGAATCTGAGATCAGTTAAAGAAAACATAGTGACTCAATAAACAAAATTAAATCAGAAACAATTTTGAGTTGTGTCTTGAGTTGGTCCTAAGTGACAGAAAGCAGTTGAACTTCATGCAGAGTTCCCTTGAATTCCATTGCTTCAGTGATTTCAGGATGATGAATTTTGGGGAGGATATGGACAAGAACAAATAAGCTGGGAAAACAAAGTGGATAAAATATTTAAATACTGCTGTATATACCATCTATACCATCTATAAAATTTTCCTGCAATACATCTACATATTAACACAAATGCTTGTTTGCCCAAGTCTAATGCCTGCTTTACTACTTTCTTGAAATAATTCTTACTTCCTGAAATACTTTTGCTTCCCAATAATGTGCAACTGATCTGTTACTGTATGATTTTCATGCCTTAGTCCTTTTAGATCTAGGCACTGGTTCTCTGTCTTGATTATATATACAACTACCATATGTATTTATTTTATTTCACTTTCTTTAGGACAAGAGCTAATATAAAATTGTATTAAATTTGTGTGTAACTTTTTTTAAAAATAAGGAGCAACAGCTTTTATGTTTGCTTGTCTGTCCATTTATTTACACAACTATCCATGTTTTTGAAAACAAATTTTACAGTTATATCTTTTGCACTGCTTCAGATATGAAACCAAGCAAGCATTTACTGAAAAACACCTGTCTGGCACTAATTTTTACTGCCCACCTGGCCTAGATGAATTGATAGCTGAAGCAACTCCTGCAGGCTAAAAAGGGAGAAGATTTAAACAGAGCAAGAGCTTGTTTTCTTGTGGTGTTTGGTTTATCAAAAAAGGTAAGTTTTATATTTGATTTTTTTTTAATCTCTATTTTGAAAGAAAGTGGGAGAAAAGGAAGTGGAAGAAATAAATTCACAATCCCATACTTCGAAT